TAGTCGCCATGATGCTTAATATGACAAAAAAGTGACTTAATGTCAAAATATTTATTATGCAAATCTGAATATAACAAGCCCATATTATTTTTTCTATCTCTAGTAGCCTCTGTAGCTCTACAATCCCGAGGCTGATATTGATGAACATGTGACTTAAACTAGTATTTACAATTTCCTATAATTTCACTGAAACATAAATGCATTTAGAAAATTCACAGAGTAATGTAATAAAAACTCCTTTTTCAGCCTTACTTTATGCAGGCCTAGAATAAATCTATTATTAATTGCAGTTCAATGTACAATTCTACAAAATAGGTTATCTTCAGGTATCTCTAATGCTAAGCAAGCACATTCTGTCTTTAAAATTAAACAGCCCCAATCTGTGCATCTGAAGGAAAATTATTTTATTCTTAGACTCTTCCAGGTGCTTTCCTGCAGAAAACCAAACTCTTGAATGGAGTACTGTTCTTAACACTTGATGTCCACTAGAGTGAGGTGTTTCACTGAACAAGTGTGGGGCTAACAGATTCTTCCAGTTCAGAATGTGCATACAAAAGACCTTTTGATCTCACAACATTTAGGAGTTTTATTGACTTATGGCCAAAATAAGCCACTGGGGAAAAAAAAAGGAAAAACATTTTTCCAGGAACTGTGTGTGTGTATATGTATATCTATCTCTATCTCTGTATATATAATGCACTCTGTGTTAAATAAGGAGAAATTTTTGCAAAGCTCCTTGTAGGCCAGTTCTCGCCCCTCTCACTGCCCACAGCCTACACCTATTCCCAGTGACACTTCTTCTGTTTTTTTATGCAAGCCAACGCTGACTATCTTTGAATTTATTTTGGAGTATTGAGTCTTTTTAGGGATGGGCATTTGGTTATCAAAGGTAAAAATTTGGTACTTTGCCACACTTTAATCCAGTTAACAACACAGTGTCACTAACATTCACAGAAAACTCAGTTTTTGAATAGAGAGAACGGGAACGTGTAAATGCCTGAAAAATGCTTCAGGCAGAGGCTTTGAAAATGTCTATCATGCATATTCTTGGCAGACCATAAAAACTTGCAACTCATGGTTGTATTCACTGTACTGAAATACTAGGTAAGTTGCCTCAATATCATATAATTCATCAGGCTGAAAGAGAAATATGTTACCAATGTTTACTTAATTCCTTCGTTAATATAAGTTACTGACATTCAAAGAGCTTGGCCTTGAAAGGGAGGTGGTTAAGATTTCTGGTGTCATACTGTGACACTCCAATGAAATTAGAGTTGATGGGACTGCGCATGATGCCCCCACCCCCCATTTCAAGAAAATTCTGGAAGCTTGGACTACTTATTATTATTATTTATTATTACAATTATTAATAATAATAATTAACCTAAGGGTCTGAATTCCTGCCCAGAGGGGAAGCAAGGCTGCCTATATAAGGAGGCAAATCAGAGCCCAGGGTGGCATACTGGAGGACATCTCAGCTGGCTGGACAGACACTGGACCCAAGACTGGTGAAAACTTTATTTTCTGTCTCTTCTTTCTCTCATACTCTTTTTTTCCTCCATTTCTTGTTATATATTGCAAGGTTTGAACCACTAGCTATTGCAAGGTTTGAGCATGTGGCATTTTGCCAATATTGTTGATTTACCTAAAGTTTTCTTAACATAACACATCTAAACTTATTTTCTTATCATGCAGATACCACTGTTAGCACCTTAAAATTGTTTCTTAGCATGCCAATATTGTTCTTATCAAATAGATTAGTGTTCTGTGAATTAGAGAATCTCTGGTGTCCTTCATCTTAATCCTGACCTGGGAACTAGTGAACTCAAGTTGTCATCCTGATAAGGTGGATGTGACACACACCTTTAAGAAAATTGTGCTTTCTCCTATCTGATAGCATATAAGATCGATGGTTATACTTGTATCAGAGAAAAAGGTGATCATTAAATTAAGAAAATTCTGTGTTCAACAGGTTAAAAAATTATTACTTTAATTACTGCTGTGAATTTCCTTTCTCTAGAATTTGTGCTCCAATGATCAATTTAAGTTCAGAACCTTCAAAAACAGGAATACTGTTGAGAATTTTTGCATTAGTTCCTGCGCATCCAGACTTTCAACCTGTACAAAAGAGTGGTTGAGACAGCCCTTCAGTGTTCTTTTCTTCAACCAATTGGCTGATCAAGAGACTTCCTGATTCGAAGTATGTACAAATCTGCTTTGAAGTTGACATCTGAACTGACATTTTGAAAATCTTCCTAGACACAAAATAGGAACTGTCTATATACTTCTACTTATCTCCAACTTCTGGTCTAAATTTTCCTCTTAATAATTATTAGTAATACAAACATTTTTAAAAATTAGTTTAAAAGGACTTTCAAGATAATAAATCCTGTCCTAGAAACATGCATTAGCTGCAATTGAAGGAATACCAGACCAGCATCTGTGAAATTACTGAAGACGAATCCTAGGCCAAGATACTTTCAAATTAAGAATTTAAAAGGAAAAAAGAAAAAAAATTGCACTAGGCTATATCTTGCTGTAGAACTGAGTATTTTACCTTGATCACACAGAACCTAGTATATAAGAAAAGACTATAGGAAGCATCCTTCATAGACCAAGATATATCGGCTATGCAAAACCGTATCTGTCTTTCCTACGTTTCCCCTTTGATTTCTACTGCATGCACACCACTTTACAGAGCGGGCAAGCTTGAAAAGGAAAGCTGACAGCAGAGCCTCCACAGGATGGTCCTTCAAAATAATGATTCAGAATTCATACTTATTCTAAATTAAAACAATCACCCACCAGAAAAGACAGTATTAACATTAAAAACACAGATATCCCTGTGCATTTTAAATTAAAATATGTAGTTATTTCCACAGTCTAAGCTTTATATGTAGCTAAACAGCTGGTAACCAAAATAATTTTAAGTCACTGAAGCACAGTATACACATGGAAGAAAAATGTAGTTCTAAATTACAAAAATTGCTTAACATTCAAATGACCAAATTCGTAACTCTTTTGAACAATAAAAGCAGGTTACAGGACCTCAGAGTATAAGGTACAAGTTAAATGTATCTGAAGTTCAGTGAGCAGCTCTGGGTGAGCCATATGTACAAAATACATGGCTGTATAGCTGGGTGAACAATTAAAAGAACGTGGGTTTGGTTGTACTATTGGTATTATGTCTACCAGAAAGAAATGTTTCTAGACAAATGTTTCATCAAAACCACTGTGACAAAACAGATTGGTTTTTCAAAGTTGCAGTTACCATACACTTTTAAATACTTTATTTCTACACAGCAGCAAAGAGAAATGTAGATCTTTTGCTCTAATTCATTTTCTAAATTTTCAGATCTGTTAAGTATCTGAAGTTATCTGATCTAACCACTGCTGAATTTGGTATTCTTGATGGCATTTGTCAAGCAGCAAACCAACTACGCAAGGCAGGGTTCAATTTACAGAATAGAGATGTCTGGAGTCAGCAGTGCTCACAGATAAGCTCGTGGTCCTTGGTTTAATAAGGTATTTGAAATGAACTGCATACCTCTCATATTCAGATTATATAGCCTAGTGTCTCTTGCAAGTCTTAATACTTGAAAAGGTAAGCACAACAAATTCCAGAATCATCCAGAATTATGGTACTGTTTCAACAGAAAACTTTGAATAACTACATAGGAATAAAAATTCTCTCTGTGCATGCAGTTGAGTTAGTCATATTGAAAGGCTTATATGTGCCAATTCTCTACTCTTTTCAAAACACGTTTGTACAGCAAGTCCCACATGCTCATGAAAAGCCATTTAATCAATAAGAAGACACAATCTTACATTAACTGGTACACAGAGGCTCATATTAAATTCACAGAATTGCATCTTCCTTTCTTTTACAGGAAAGGTAGAGAAGGGTGGGGAGAAGGGAACAGGGCTTTTGAACAATAAAAACAAAAGAGACTGACTGTTAAAAATGAAGGTCCTAGAACACAAGGTCCTAGTTATCACATCCTTCAAAAGTCCCTGCAGAATACAAAGCCTCTATTGAAAATTGTATCAAAATGTTTTTTTAAAACCTTTCCTTTATCCAATTACTAATTATTACGGTATCTACTACTCTTATGAGCAGATTTCCATTGTGATAATTCAGCTTAATTTTTTTAATTTATTATTTTTTAATCTGGCAGTTTGACTGAAGTTCTGTCAAGCTTTGTGTGCAGTCAGTATAAGCTTAAATGAAGAATAATATCTTATTTTTCAAATTTCATCTCAGGACATCTCATTAACATTGCAGTACTTAACCGATTGGGCTATGTCTTGCCCAATCAAGCTTATCAAAGTTTTCCATAATACAAAGCACAATCTAGCAGATCTTTTATTTCAATTGCACATCATATGTTGTTAATAAAGTTAATTCAAGGTTTTATATATTCAACTTTGGAAAACAATTATTACTAAATTTTCTATAACACAGAATTATTTCTGTGTTAAAATATTACAAAGCACTTAATATTTCAAATTTCTTTAGGTTCTAACAATATTTGGGATCAAACGGTACTCACCTTCTCAAAATAAGTTTTGGTGAAGTTGGTGAGAATTAAACCAATAAGTATAAAAATAATTTTAAGTATAGGGAGACTAGATAAACCAAACTCTAATAGAAACACAGTAAAAAATATTTTATTTTACGACTGTGGTATGATTTTTGCTTTATGCACTACAAAGCATGTACCACATTCTTTTCAATCAACTAGGCCGAATAACAACATGCAATTTCTATTACTGCTTATCGTATTACAATATATCCATTTACAGGTAATAAGATTAGATTCATTGTTATTCTCATTTTGTAGGGTATTTTTCATTTAATCTTCTTATGTTAAAAAAAGGGGGGGAATTTCACATTCATGCATAATAAAAACCAAACAATGTTATCAGAATCAACACATCCAAGCATGTTATATCCTACTTAGTTAATGTGACCAGAGAATAAAAAACAAGGATCCTACCTCAGACCAAAGATATGCGATTGTTCATAACTGAATAAGGAATGAATCTTAGCTTCTGAATTCAAAATTACAAGCCTGTCAATGATATCCTGCCAAAGGAAGACAAATGTAAAAAAACCTCACAGATGATTTTATGTTATGCATATAATACTTTCATAGGGATATTTACTATAAAATGAAACCTATTATTAAAACACACATTGAAATTATTTCTGCAAGAAGAGGTGATTTCCATCACAAAAGTTACAGGCAAAAAGAAACCATACAAAGCGCTAAGGGAAAAAAAAGCCCTCTCAGTTAAAAAAGAATAAACCACTGAACATAAAAAAGATCCTAGTATATCAAGTATCCCAGCTTCTACCTAGTATTATACCAGAGCAAACCAGATTTTTGTATGTTTGAAATGTGTATACATGTATTTTAATGAGAACAGTAAATCTTTTACTATAATACCCTTTCTAACATCGGTTAGTTCTACATGCTTCAAAACAGGGCCATTTAATCTCAGTGTTACAAGACTTGGCTTGCATGTTGAGGGTTACATCTTTCATCCCACAGCATGTCATGTAATAGACAATAATCAATGGCTGCTTCCCATTTCTTCCACAAATCCAACATAATGATATTCCCTTCTGGACCACTGCATATCCAAACTGCTTCTGAAGAAATAATTTCATTAAAAGACTAAGAAATGCATAAAAACATTCATTGATGTTATCATCTCAGAGACAAATTGCTGTGGTATCATTAGAAGAAACAAGCTACAAGGTCCTTATGGGCTTTATTTAATCTGGATTAAATCCAAACTTTTATTTTTTCCACGTTTAAGAAGTGTAGTTTCAGAGTCAGCAGAGGGAGTTATTATTCAGGTGGTTAGATCCATGAGTCATTTCAATATGATATGAGGGAAAAGTTAGGATCCACAATTTCATTAAATCAATCAGAGAGAAAAGTAAACACCACAAGTAAAATCCCCAGTAGTAGAGAAAAATAAATCTACAACTTGTCAAAGTACACTGTTCTTCATAAAATGCATTCTTATTTAAAATACAGTGAAAACCCATATTCCCTATTTGACTTTTGGGGGTGTTTGTGGAGTCAGCTGTAAATGCATTTTTCCACATCACTGTTCACAACATTCAGAATAAAAAAAAAAAAAAAAAAAACACCGACCTCAAGGTTGTTCAAAAAATCAGTAATGCAAGCAATGGATTTAGGATCATAGAACGGTTTAGGTAGGAAAAAACTTTTAAGATCGAGTCCAACCATTAACCTAACACTGCCAAGTCCACCACTAAGCACCACACCTACAAGTCTTTTAAACGCCTTCAGGAATGGTGACTCCACAGCTTCCATGGGCAGCCTGTTCCAGTCCTTAACAACCCTTTTGGTGAAGAAAATTTTCCTAATACCAATCCAAACCTCCCCTGGTGCAAGTTGAGGCCATTTCCTCTTGTCCTATCACTCGTAGCTTGGAAGAAGAGACTGACATTTGTTTGGGGTTTAAGGATTTTCAGGTATTTGCACGAACAAAGAGTTAAATGCCCAGGGATATTGCTCTGGCAATAACCTCCTATCATCTATACATCAAAGCCTGGAGCCTGCAACAGAGTAGAAAGAGCAGGCACAGAGAGAAGACTATTGAGAAAGCAGACAAAGTTCCAATTTGAAGATGGAATTAAGCTTTTTTCAGTGATGACCTATGATAGGACAAGGGGTAATGGGTGCAAATTGGAGCATAGGAGGTTCAGGGTGAATATCAGGAAAACTTTTTTCACTGTGAGGGTAACGGAGCACTGGAACAGGCTGCCCAGAGAGGTTGTGGAGTCTCCTTCACTGGAGTCATTCAAAACCCGCCTGGACGCCTTCCTGTGTGATGTACTCTAGGTGGTCCTGCTCTGGCAGGGGGGTTGGACTAGATGATCTTTCGAGGTCCCTTCCAGCCCCTATGATTCTATGATTCTATGATTCTATGATTTAGGGTAGTAGAAAGGAAGATAATGAACATGGTCCAACACAAGGTCTGATCTGAACAATGTGCAGAGGGATCTGCATTGCTCAACTATAGAGTGTACCTTAAATATTACAGGTAGGACATCACCTACTTTAAATACCTAAGATACACCATCTAAATAAGATTCTCTGTAATTTGCTTTCACTTGTCTTTCAAAGCTATAGATCTGAAGGGTACCTTACAAGCTAGATTCCCTTGCATATGTGTACTATAGAACCTCCTGTGAGAAGAACGGAGGCAGGCAGAAGGATCCTGATTCATCTGCTTTAATTTTCTTAAAGGCACAAAATAAAAACCTGATGAGTCAATAGCTACAAGTACTAAAAGGCCAACAGTTAATCTGTTCAGTCAGTGGTGCAACTAGTCAGCCAAAAATACAAAAGAGGAAAAAATGCTTAAATCCTTTATATTTCAGAAGTAAAGGGCATACAAAAATGATTAAGTTCTGTGCATCATCAAATATAGTTCAGCATAAATATTACAGGTCAGATTCTGTGGCAAATGTGACGTGATTCAGAAATACAGGAAAATGAAGCACACAGAGCAATTAGATCTCCTAACCAAATCTTCTAATGGCACCAAAATTGCTTTTATATTGCTTTCTAACCATAGGTACATCTAGTCAAATCTTTTATCTTAAGCTTTCTGCAGCAGCTGCCCAAAAATCTGCTTATAATAAATCTGTATGTCTACTTGACCCCAGAAGTCTGAGTACCTAGACTTATTCACTACATGTTAAATTAACATTGGATGAACTGTCAATTTCCCTTCTGTTAACTACATAATTTTGGATGTCTAGCTTAGGTTTACAAAATTGACTGTTGTGCAGTAGTTAAGTGAGACAAACACCATCCAAAATATCTGTAACTCTGCAGTGAACTTTGAACAATTGTATCAGTATTGCTATTTCTGGAATCCTAGAGAATTCCATCAAAATGTTGAAGTGCCTCAAAAGCCAAAACAACGCAAGCTTTCAAAAGTCACAAAAATGATTACTTCAAACCCACCCAAATCTGAAAGCTCAAAAATAGATGCATGCTGAAGGTAATACATATCTCCCCTGCTCCCAGTGCCTCAAGAAACTTGATGACTGAACAGAACTATTCAGTGGTGGACCATACCAACACTGAGTGGATTGGAAAAAAGAAATTAATCATCGCACTTCCTCCTGAAATTGTTGAAACAGAATTATAAAAAATTAACTACAAAACATCCCTTCCAAACATACCATACACTATTATACTATACCCTGTCTAAAGTTAAACTATCACCAATCCAGAGCTTGTGCTACACACTCTTAAAATAACAGGAATTCAAAGTTCTAGTTCATTAGACAAAAGAAACCCAAATCTGATTTAAGTGCTGATCAAGGTCACGGATTAAATTTGCTTGCACTTTGTAAATGAGGGAAAAAAAAAAAAAAAAAAAAAAAAACCACCAAAACAAATGGATTGCAGTTGGATGAACTAGAACAACACAGTACTAAATACCAAAATGGTGATATGAGTTTTTTTAGGACTGAAATATATCTTAATCAGTAACTTCCCAATTAGTCATTTTTTTTCTGCCTGTGAATCACCCGTGCTATTATGAATGCCTAAGGTTTGCCATTTTAAAATTTCTGTTCAAATCCACAGATAGTGTAATAAGCAATATTATATAAAATACAAGTATAGATATTGTCCAGCATTTTCCAGTATGTAACTGCATGCACATACAGAGGTTCTTATGTATGTCACTTGATTTTTTTTCCTCATGGAAAAACGCAAGTCTAGCCCAAGCCTGGAAAGATGAACTTTAAATTAGACATAAAATTTTATATTATCTTTAGGATTTCAAAATGAAAGTTCAGGTTAACATCAAGTGGTATGTGCATATACTGCCCTCATGCTGTATATAAAACAAAATGCAGAAAATTTTAAAATCTTTCAGTAAGAAGAAAAAAAAAAAATATTATTACAGTAACATTTTCTCAGGAAAAATGTCTTCATGTAAATATTTATTTTTCTTTCGGAATAAAAACTATACTTACAATAATGTTTGTAGGTACTTCGCGGAGTGAATACATTTGTTTATTTGGTATATCTTGTTTACTCAGGAGCTCAAAAACTGCAGGGTAGGTGAGCAAGTTTATCAGAGACAGAAAAGACTAGAGATAGAAAAAAGGGAGGAGAAAAAGGAATGTTAATCAATTAAGTAAAACCCATGTTGATAATTATTTGCCATTTATTTTACGTTTGTTCTTATCCTTCTTTGTAGGCTGAACTTGACATAAATAGAGCTGGCCAAAATAAGCCTACAAACCCTACCAACTGTCTATATAATCTAAAAGCGCAGTAGTATCTTTGAAATATGTATTATCTATCAAATTGTACAAGCAATTTTGAAAATTATATTTTTATTATCACATAATTCTAAAATCTAGAGTGCTAGCATATTCTAAAACACATCACTCTCCCAGATCTTACTGCAGTAATTAGAGGCATGAACTGATGGTCTGTATTTTAAGGCTTTTGGCTTTTGCCATGATCATTATTTATTATTTTATACTGACTTTAATGGGTCATTGTGACATCAATGAACAACATAAGAATCCTTTCAGTCAGTCAACATTTGATAGTGTATTATACCATTTTTGCCCCACATCCCAAGAAGCAATAAAAATTTACGGAAAGTTATGTATCATCCTATCTGAAACACAGCACTGTTTTTCCCATCCTAATACAGAAGATTAAGTAATTTCTCACCTTCTGACAGCTTTGGTCAATAGGGTCAACTGGAGTAGATTTGCGTTGGGTTATCCTCAAATCATCTTTTCCACACTCCAAAAGAGCCCATAAATCAGTTACAAGTGCCTTTATATAGCCTAAAACAAATTTGTGTTCTAATTATGAGAATGGCAAGAATATTGGAAAAACAATTTTCATATTGAAACACATTTTACACCACAATTCTAACTCAGATGCTCAAATTTCTCTACATCGTGGACTAAAATTTCGCAAGACAGGCTGCCTGAGGGTTACTCTCCCTGCTAGTCAATCCTTTAGTCAAGCTATCTTTCTACAGAGGTCTGCTTATATTCAGTCTAAAATCTACAGTAACAGTTTGCAAAGACTATTATACTAGAGTAGGGTGATATTTGTATTTTCCATGTAAGTGGGCTGCTGACCTTTAGCAAGTTAACAGCTACAGATCAAGGCTTAGCTTGTATTGCCTCAGTGCTTTTAAAAATACAGATTTACAATATCTGTTAATAAATTAAAACACCACAATGAAAAGTTAAGACTAAAAAAAAAACAAAAATCAATCTTTTTAAAAGACACACTATTAGCTGAATTTCAAATGTTAAATATTAGAAAAGGAAGGACAGTCATCTAACTCTGAAATTTCAAAATATAAATTATAGGCTTAACACCAACTATGTACATTACACAGTCTCCTCTCAGGGTTGAAAAATCAATGCTGATTTGTTTTGGTCTAACATTTGTCTTTGATGCCAAGGGCTGTAAGAAACAACTTGGTTGAGAATCTTAAACAGGACAGATGGATTACTCCTGGAGTAGATCTGCTCCTTGCTTTCTGAAAGATCCCAGAGGCACACATAATAAGCAACTAACAAGCAGTTTCCTTGACAGGCAGAATTTATCTGCCCTTCTGACAGTCTTTCAGCCAAAACATTTTATTTATGTGCCAGCCAATTCTAGATACTCAGAGAGAATATTTGCAACCTTCGTACCTCATGGATTTTGTTAGCAACTTAAACCAGTAGCTTTATTGTATCGATAACATTCTAGTTTTAGCATAACAGCTGCCTAGACCGCAGGGTGCTATGGCAGCAGCTGAGTTATCTGAGAATGAATCTGCAGGGACTTTGTGGATAGTTGACATATGAGAAGAACTGTCAATTCAGATAATCTCAATTCCATCTCTCTACTGTATGAGAGCACCAATGACATGCTGTCCCTTGCAGTTTCTCACTCTTCGAGCAGTCAGAAACCATAAATAAAGTACAGGCAAAAATTTCAGAAATCAACAGTTATTAATTCTAATCTGTAGATCACTAAGAAGAACTTGTGAATTGTTAACTTATTTTTTAACAGACATAAACATCTACATGCACATACCAGAAATTTCTGGGAACCCAAACCAACAAAGGAAAGATTTTGCATAATTTAAGAAAAACAAAACAAAAAACTCTGCAGTGAGATAAGTGAATGACTTAAAATTTGGAAGGAATAAATTTCCATGAAGAAGAAATCAATACACGTTTAAGCACTCTGTTAATACTGTTTTATCATTCCACTCAGTTGATCTTAACTTTAACATCTTAATCACTATTTTTTTTTAATATGCAAGACTACAGCACATAACTATTCATAATAACATCATTCTTCAATTTACCTGAACTCTGTAGAGCTACTGCACCAGTTGGTGTTGTTGCCATTTGTGCAACAAGCACTCTATTACCAAACTCTTCATATTCATTTGTCTGTTAGTAACAAATATAAAAGTACTGTGTTAGTTATTCAGAGGGCATGAAACTCCAAAATGATCTCTTAAGTATTGATCTTTCCTACACTCGTTTACAGAATTTAATCAACTGTATGGTTAGACTTGAACAGTTCATAGACACTACCTTATAGAGGCTAAGAAAGGTCAGATTCCAAACCAAACATCTTTATCATGTGTCTTACCAAAATTTAAGTGCTAAATACTATGGATGAGACATACTAACATTTGTATTCTTTGCTGATGTTATATTATGTTTTTTGCACACATTCAGTAGGATGAGTGTAACATTATGCTCTTTCTCCTAAAATGTGTGTTATCTAATTTTTGGTTACATTTCAACTACTGTCTAGTGTATCTGGATTTCAACACTACCTAACAACATGGTCTAGAATAATTTCCACCTAGAATAAAAAAAAAGAAAAAAAATCTTCCTATCATTTCAAACCTTTTACAGTAAAGACAGGAAAACTAAATTTATGCCTGACATGCTGAAGATAAGCAACATGCAACAAACTTAAATCAGTGTGGCACCAATATCAAAGATGATAGGCTACGTTTGTAATTAATTTTTGTGAAAATTAAATTAAAAAATGGTTTCTGGATTTATTTCTTATTATTTTCTTTATTTATTTTACTGTATTAATTTGTCTTTCTTTTAACTGTACAGATTCTGTAACGCTTACCTGGAGTTTTTTTGATAAACTACTAAACATAAAGTTCACACAGTCGTTCATGGCACCTGTACTATGAAGCAGAAATAATCCTTTTGGTGTGGCAGAAAAATTTAGCAAGGCATCTAACAAAGTCTCTTCCCATAAACTGCAAGAGTAGCAAAAGAGTAATTAAAGATATGTAAAACAGCACGGGGAAATAAGAAAAACAATTCTAACTTTGAATAACAACAACATTTCCTTTACTGGACTCTGACACTCTGTATCTTTATGTTCGTTTTTTAAAAAAAGAATTTGGAAAAGTTAGCATATATATCAGACTGTATTTGTGCAAACTTTCACACTCATCCTGGCAAAAGTAGGATTAGGTAGGAAGATAGAACAGAAAGATGATGCAATGGGGAACCCAAAAGATCCATGCCATCCATAAAGTCCTACAAAGGACTTACTATCTGACTCTAAACAAGTCTTAAGGTATTAATATAGCAGTTACAAATTGGCAAAGAATGCACAAAATTTCTCACCAATGTAAAAACACTACAAGGAACTAATAAGTATTCACATTTGAGGAGCTAAAGTTTCCTTCTAGAAATTAGTACAGTTATGAAAATAAGGTGCTAAATATACACAACAGCTTCACATACTAACAGCAGTAAATGGGAAATGTTTTCTCACATGGTAGGAAGTGCAGTAATTGCAAGAGTAAAGCATGATGATACCCTATGCCCTAGAATATATTCTATGCCCTAAAAAGAAAAGTGGAGCAATTGCATCACCTCTGACTAGGTACCATTCCTGCAGGTATCACTGGACTATTACGATTCTGCTTCTCTAAAAGCATTTGCTTACTGGATTCTCATCTCTCCTTCTCATTTCTCATTTTTGACTCCTATTACCAGCAAGCAGCATTTTCTTGTAAGAGTCAACCATAACCCCAAACCTGAATGACTTCTGCAGAATCTCTGGCAAATCAAGTTTAGAAGCAAAATATTTCACCCAGAAATGTATCAGCGTGTTTAATTTAATCTTCCATCATTAAACGGAAAAACTAGATGCTAAGAGGAAGCTGTAGCTTATGTCAATGGTGGTGATGAGTAACAGCCTCCTCAGAGCTCTGCATCCCTGGATCTCTTTTTACCACTACAATTGAGTTACTATAACCAGTTCACACTCCACCACTATAGACCAGAGTAAAAACTGTTGAGATGTCTCTGCAAATCATGCATGAAATCTATAGTAAAGTATAAACAAGGATCTACTTAATTAACTAAGTTCTTCACTAACACAAACATGACCCGGAATTTTCAGGCTCACAAATTTTTATATATTTGTCATCTTAATGCATACAAACTTCAATAAAGACACATTAAGTTTACTATAAAAGGAAAGATGCCTTTCACTTAAATGTATCAGGCTTACCGCCAGAATGCTCCTAACCTTACTACATATTATTTTGGGGGTGAAGATACCACTCAAAAGAACAGCATTTTAAATTAACACCACATCAAGGCCATAAGATAAACTCTGACAGCTACTTTGCTTTATGCTTGCTAATATACATTTTCCTAGAACCAATTTCTGTTGTCAGAGAGAATCAACTATAAGTCAATTTTACATAGATCAGACACAACTCTGTAAGACAAATCCTAAAAGGTAAAGAACAATTTTACAACTCTACTGAGACTCATTGTAGCAGGTTTTCCCTCTCTCTACCCATCTCTACGCTTTTGGCAAAAAGACCAGGGTTATAAGATGCCTCAATGGTGGCTAAAGTAGCAGTGTATGTTTATACATATGCATATATATAAATTAAGCATCAACTTACATGTTTTTTGACTCTAGACTAACTGATGAAGTTGAGTCCACATCAGTTACAGGAGTGGGTACTCTTTCTGAAAGCAAACTGGTCTGAAATAAAAAATAAACACTTCCTTACTTTTGATTTACACCATTTTTAAACACCAGATCTTCCTCATTCTCTTGTTATATTAAAAAAGAAAAAGTTGTGTTCTGTGCCAAAGGCTAGACTGCTACACCATTCTACTACATCTTTTATTCCAGAAAAACCTTTTTTAATTTTCTCCTTAGTTATAGACTGGTTTATAGCTAGTACATTTTGAAAATTTTAATTAGAATTCTTAAAATGCAAATGGCAATAACAGCCTCTGGAGTCAACAATTCCATATCAAATCTATTAAGTAATTCTGCCAATTTCTCTTTTATCTATTTAGAAATTATATAAATTTATCTTTAGTGATATGGATATAACTATAGTTACAGACATAGATACATACATATAATTTAAAATAGAAACTCCATCAAATATAAAAATATGTATACATATATTTGAAAATAGGTGGTGTGGAAAACACTGTATATTTGAGATGAATGATTTAAGTTGTTTTACTTTTCCAATGATAAAAAGCAAATTGCACCATTCAAATGCAAGTAATCAGTGATTAATTTACTCTTTTATAAATGTGACCAAACAAATCCATAAAAGATTCCTCTATTAAACTAGTCAGTTGTCCTGGATCTGTTAAGTTCCCTTTTTATTATCATCAATACAAATTCTGTTCCAGAATTCCAACAGAATCTGCCAAGAAAAAGAAATTGTTTCTCCATCTATCTTAAAACTCCAGGAGACATGTAGGAGGAAACAAATTACTTATCTATCCATCAAAAAATTGTCACTACTGCTTAGAAAGACTCCACTAGAGTCCACCATTTTCACTACACAATAAGTGGTAGAGTATTTTATAAACTGCAGATATTTTTAAATTAAAAAAAGAGAGAAAATACTTTTAAAAGTCATCAAGATGGCAGAGTTGAAAATGTGACTCTCCTGTACCAATTTGCTGATTTCTTAAGTCCTGGATATGTAGATTCAGCCTCAATCTGACCTCCAGAGTGATGTGAAAAAAAATGGTATGCCAATTTATTTTTTTTTAATTTGACACATTCAGCCTACTTATCTTGTATGTGTCAAAACAACATCTATATGAAGTTTTATACCACCATAAATTATTTTAATGTGCAATGAAGTCTTTTATGCATGTGTAATTGCTGTGGTGCTTTAGAGCAAATAAGTGGAAACGCCCATCAAAAGCATATACCAGTCTGCCTGTGATAAACATTAAATAGAGTAACATGTATGTTCAAGTAAGACTGACTAGTTACAGAACAGAAAAGCACAAAAATACAAGCAGATTTTTATGTACATTACAGTGTGATTCAATTGAAACTCCTTAATTCAATAAAATCCTAAAGTTCTCAACGCAAGGAAGA